TTATGTGATATCAGCTAGTCAAGTACACACCTACACAGCATGTTAACAAACCCTGAAAAAAAGCCACACAAAAAAATGAATGATTGCTGGTAAGGGTTTCTATACATTAGTATTTACGAAGGGTATGTTGTGACTTACCTTCACAATTACAGTGGTCCCTCGCTATAACGTGGTTCACCTTTCACCTTTCACATTGTGTCCTGCGTCCTGATCGCTGCAGACGATCTCCTCTGTGACGTCTCTCCTGTACAGTACAGAATCGCTGCATCGATCGCCTGCAGTGTGCAGGCGATCAATGCATGCGAACAGCATGTGGAACCTGCAGAAATCAAATTGGCTCGTGATCTGACATATGTCAGACTGACCCAGTCAGTCACCGGTGAGGGCGGGAAAATGGTCCCTAGCTGGTCGATTGTTGCGTCTCTTCAGTAAATACAGAAACAAATTTTCGTCCAATTATAAGTATTAAGTGTTTTGTTTAATATCTTACTCTTTTTTGCATGACGAAATATTTTGATGTCATGTGGATATTAAATTTTTTATCTTTTAAATATAGCATATTTCCTCAAAAATAATATTATTAGCTAATGACATCTCCCTTACCTTTCAAAATACATGTAAGCTGTGATTCTTGCATCATTCCCCATACAGTATATCAATCTAAAATAACCCCCTTTTTAGGCGGTGGTATGACATTGGTGACTCTTACTCCTGCGCTGGTGTTATTACCCGCAGAGTGCCAGTCCACAGTGTCCGTGGCACCGCCCCCCCCTTCAACGTGGCTAATGAGGTCAAATGACGAATTACACAGTCGGTTAAACAAAGGGGCTCGGGACTTCATCCACAGAACAGATTGCAGAGGGTATGTTAGTGCAAATGCTGTGAAACAGCAAGCCATTGCTTGCTTCATGCTTGAGTGTATGGGAAGAATGAAGGAATGAAAGGCATGTGGAGGAAACACTGAAAAAGAATTTGCTGAAAAGTGGTTAAAATAAAGGACTACACGCAGATGTAATTCCTCTCAATCCTGTAACTAGAGCAGAAATCTGCAGACCAGGCGTAGCAATTCAGCAGACATTTAGGTTCATAGACAGTACAGCTGCCCCTCTTGGGCTGAGATTAATTGCTGGATGGATAAAGCTACAGTGATTGACAGATGAGGAGAAACACTGAAGGGACTGAGAGAGATGAATGTGGAGCAGTTCGGAGGGAAATTAGTGCTGAGTGTTTAAAGTTTCTCAGATTATGGTTCGCTGGAACCAAATGTTTGGAGTTCATCATGCAAAATATGATTGAAGGTCATTAGAAGTTATCAATTAACACAATCAGTGGATGAGTTGTAGTCATTGTAGGTGGGGTTTTTATTTCCTGTCCTACTGACGCTGTTAACCCCCAAATACGTATCCTGAGAGTGATGCTAGGAGTGTGCGCTGCACAATATTGTGTCCGGTGTCCTTATATTTTAAAATATTCACCCCAAGGGCAGGTAGCTCACGTTGCATCCATCTTTAAATCTAATAGTGTGCCAAGGTAACAAATCATGTTTGACCCCGAATGTTCTATAAACAGCATCATGTATGCGCTGTGAAGCAAAATAAGAACAAAGTCAGGCATCAATTGCACTCAATTTTACAGCTTTGTTGAATGTATTACAGCCTTGGCATCGACTCGTCACCTCTAAGACTGTCAGGTATTTTTATTTGGTAAAATTTATGTTACCTTCATAAAACACTTTTGGTAATTTCCAAACTTTTCTGTAATAGTTAGTGCACCAGTATGAACAAGCTCTTTGACCAAAATGATATTTTTAATGCTAAAGTGTAGTTATTGTTGTTATCCATGAATTTTCAAATTTACTGTTTTACAAAAGAGCAGGAAAAAATTGCAATGCACGTCATTATTTTTTGATTACGATGCCAAATTACAGTTATTTACTCCCATTCCTGAACAGAAAAATTTGTCTTAGTCATTGAATGTTATGATTAATTAATGTCTGACTTCTCCGACCTGTTTGACGACTCAAATTTGGGTAAAAGGATATGAAGTCAGTTTGCTGATAAACAGATAAAAAGTGCAGAAAAACAAAAAAAAAAGTCTTATTTCTTTACAAATTCAGCAACATGAAAACAAAGATTCCTTGAAACCTTACTTACTGACTGTTAAAGAGAAAATGATTCATTGGTTAATCCAGAAAATCGGCATCAGATTAACATTTAATGAAACTTATTTACAGGATAACTTTAAATCTCCTCTATATTAGAATTTATCTTCTGCAAAAGTGGTGAGTGTTATTCGTTTCTCCCGTTTTGTTTGTGTTGTATGTCAAATATAATTTGCCTTCAATCTGATTTTTCACACCGCACCCTGTTTGCATAACTCAAGATGCTCTTTTTCTTTTTTTTTGACGAAGAGCCCAGGACCTAAAATGACATGCTGTATTGCCAACAAACATAAAACCACGAGTAGTTTATGGGTTATCATCTCATGGAATTATTTTCTTACTAGCTCCAGGTGCAGGGCCAGGATAAAGGCAACCTATCGCCAGAGACCCAGACAGCTAATGTAGCATAAAGAGCAGCTCAAAATTTGCCCGTGGACGGAGCAACCCTTTCTTGTAACTGGGTCTTGCTTAATGAACTACAAGGCGCCTCAAATGACAAATAAATTGTGTTTTTTTTAAGCCAACACGCTGCTCATTGCATCACTAATAAGGTTAATTTGAGTCCCAGTGGGCAAGAGGCATTAGCCTAAGTGTTTATCCGCTTTAGCACTGTCCCCTGTTAGAATGACAAAAAGAAAGTGTGCTGGCAGTGTCATTATAATGACAGTAAGTAGAAGGTGAATGCCTAATTTGCACATGAGGTCTGAGCCAAATGAACAGGAAGCAATCGTGAATTACTCTCTGTTTTGCGTATGCAGCAGAGTAATATACTTGTTGTGAGTGCATTTTTGCATGTTTTAAATGAAACTCATGCGCCTTGATGGGGTTTTTTTGTTTTGTTTTTGGGGGGTTGAGGGCACAGACTGTAGGAGTTAAATTGCCTCTAGACAATGAGCAATCGTGAAATTTAACTGAAGATGAAACAGCAAACAGAGCAGAACATGTGTAATGAACGACTTCATTGAACTGGCTGTTTAGTTATGTGCGTGCTGTTAGTAAAATGTATAGTTCCAGACCTGAATGTTCCCAATTCCCCAAACTGATTACAATTACAAATGTAGGTAAAGCCGACACAGCGCAATACTTATCTTCAGCCAAATGATAGACTTCCTTAATTAAAAATGGCAGACTTTGAGACTGCTGTTGAATGAATTATTTCTCTGATATTCTCCCACTGCCTCTGTGCTACTGAGTCAAAGAGGCGGTTTATGTAGCTAAACTGGAGGCTGCTGTTAAATTCGCTAAGGCTACTCTTGCATACAGTAGGCTAGATAAGCCTCATTTGAATAATACCCATGTAGCTCTGCTGCTTTATCTCCGAGTTTACCCATCAGAAATGTGTGCCGTTGTGTTTATGAAGTTGTCAGATGGCACAGCATCACTGCTGATCAATAACAAGCTTTGGGCACTGCATTGTATGATATTATTGACATCCCTTCAGACTCGAAGATCTATAATAAGCTTTGCCTTTGCTGAGAAATTGACATTTTAAAAAAATTTTCAGCATTTTTGTGTGTTTGTGAGATTTTGGAGGGAGCAGAGCGAGCTACACTGTGTAGCGGGTTACAAGTTTCATGGGAGTTTTTTGTACAGTAGCAAGAAAGTGAGTGGCTAAGCTTTGGTTCGTGTGTGGGGGTCCAAATCCCAAGTCCATTAAATCACTCTATAACAGATTAGCGGGAGCCTATTAGTTGAAAAGAGTTGTGAGATTTTCCACTCCCACATGTATTCTTGAAGTCAGCGTGGCACCTTCAGAGTCTACATTACCTGCTATAAAACCAAACAGTTTTAGAGTGAAGAGTAACAAGCCAATCTCTGGAACAGGATGTAATTAAGAGAAGGACGTTGGAGGCGATAGTGAATCTTTATCTTACAAATCTCAGGTGGGTTTGTGACCTAGAAAGACACACAGAGGAAGAGGGAGACAGGAAAGGAAACAAAGTTGTACAGGAGTATGTCATGCTGCAAAAGATGAGACATAAATGTCCACTATCGCGAACAGTTCTGTTGAAGCTGATCGCAGTTGCGGGGCAAATGCAAACCAGTAACAATAACAAATGCACAGAGAAACCGAGTCCAAGTTTGCCACTGCAGTAGGAGTATCTGAAGATGGATATTGTCTGATGGGAGCCAAAAACTATTTTGGGAGCCTGAGCCCCTGAGTTGTCCCTGGGCACCCTCTGATCAGCTTTGTCATCAGGTGTGAGAGTGACTACACAGTCAGTAGAAGAGTGCAGATGCATCCTGACACTCACACTACAGGAAAGTCGCTGGCACGGTTTTAGAAAAAAAGAAAGAAAAGTGGAGTTTTCTCTGTGTCCTCTTATCGCTCCAATTTCTGTAGAAACTGGAAACATGAAGTGCAGAATTTCTAAAGATGCCATCCTTGGTCACTTGTTTGTGGATGACAGGTGTGTTGTTGTTCTATATAAACTACGTTAGCCTACTTATGCATTTTAGGATAGCTCCCAAACACAGCAGAAACAAATGGGTGGATTCTTAATCTGATAAAAGAAGGCGATGTGCATTTTTTTCGACCATTGAAATATGACTTGAGATTCCTTTATGCTTAACAGTGCATTTTCCGTTTGTTTAACCTCGCTCCTTCGCGTTACTCGACTGTTTATTTCATTTCCAATCCCCTTTGCCTTTTCTGCTTACCTTTCCCTTTTTATGTTGCGCGGTGGATCTAGTGAAAATGAATTCTGCAGCGCGTGCTTTATTGTTCAAACACGTGCGCGTGTCGTGTGTGTGATGAAGTCGTGTCCTGGAGAACTTTTCGATGCGTGCGTCAAAAGTACGTGAGGACTGTGGCGCATTGGACGGCCGTAGTCGGTGGTGAATGAACGGGAGGAGGAAGAAGATCTTACATTAGCTCCTGCCGGCTGCGGGGACTCAGGCAGTTGACAGAAACCCAGGCAGAGGGACTCAGTGAGAACAACACTGACAGCTTTTTTGGGGAAACACGGGGCGACAAATGAAAGCCAAACAAAAAATCAATTAATTATTATTATTTTTTGTATCTGTTTGGCAACCTCTTGTTTTCCAGAAGATTTTTACGCAGCGCAAAAGAGTACAGAAAACGCCGCAGAGATGAGTGTTGCGTGGTTTTACGTGCTCTTGAAGGATCATCTCTCTTGATAAAGGGACCAAAGCGGACAAAACAAGGTTGCCCGTGATATTTTCTAAAAGAAGATTGCAAAGGTGGAGCGATTAGAGAAGGGCTGATGAAGGGACTATTAATCCTTTCAGTGCATCAAACGTGCCAAGGGGTACTAGAAACGTTTGGATGGAAATCGGGCGAGTGTTTGGAACTGTTTTTGGTTTTATATGAAACTGGTGATTAGTAGTTGTTGTGACACATCTGGAAGGATTTTTTTCTCTCTCTGAGATTTTAATAAGGAGTAAAATTTCGCTTTTTTTTAACCCACCACCGAAAGGTTTGATAACATGAGCGATATCTCTGCGTGAATACTCAGAAACTTACATCTCTATCTTTTTTCTCTCTTCAAGTATTCCTAATCTAAATGGAATTAGTTGAGCCTAAAGCCGTTTGTGAAAGGAACAGACATGCTACATGGGCACAGCTTCCATCACGGTAAGACATCCGTATTCACCAACTGAAGCACACTTGCTGAAAAGCTCTTAATGTTTGTCCTACCCAAGCGCAAAAGCGGCATGATAATCTTTTAATCAGTTTAGACGGACTGTAAATATCAGAGCAACAGATCGAAATCAACATAGGAACAAAATGGTGATTCAGTAGGGATAAACAAATATGAGATGAAAAACGGATGCACCGCATCCTGCAACCTGTAAACTCACAGTGAAGGTCACAGTCTTAAGTTTTTTTTTAACCTCCAGTTTTATTTATGGCAGGAAATAGTCATATTGAGATTGTTGCAGTTTGTGATGTGGGCCTATCGTTTAAAAAAATATATAATTTTGAAGCCTTTGGCTAAAAGGGGCTTTATATAGGTGTAGTCTTTGTTGGAAGAGACTTTTAGTAGCAGCCTGTAGGTTATGTTCTTACGTGACCTATAGGTTGCGTGATCTATACTATTATTATTATTATTATTATTATTATTATTATTATTATTATTATTGGAGGTATTGTGTGTTTTTTTAATTCCTTTAGGTCGGGACCAGGTTGTTACATTACGTACATAAATACAGTATTAATACCTTTGTTCCAACCTAAATGAAAAAAACAAACAAAACAAAGACAAAAACTAGTGTAATTAAAAAAAACAAAAACACCCCCCCAAAAAACCCCCAATATGAATTCATCTTTCTTTCCTTACAGTTGTTGCAAGTCTACTCATACTTGGGTTGTGTGGGGCAACAAAGAAGGATACAGCAGGTAATAGCCATCACCAGCTTGTCTTTTTGGTGTCCAAATGTCCTCTGTTCAAATTTATATGTATATGCTTAACACTATCAAATACATAATGTATGTGTGTGTATATTTCAGTGAAAAACAATTCTGGAGTGAAGCCTGCAGGTCAGTGTGGAACGTGGGTAAAGGAAGCAGAAGGAGGGCTCTTCACTTCTCCCAATTACCCAAACAAATACCCCCCAGACACAGAGTGTGTTTACATCCTTGAAGGTAAATCATCTCTTTAAACACAGCAGTAGTGAAGAAAAAAAGCCAACGCGATCTAGCTGTTTATTCTCAACTAAAGCACTACTGAGGCTATCCTCAGTGAGTGATGATACACATTGGACTGATTGGCAAGCCTAGAAAGCCTTTTTTAAATATAAAAACATGTTTTTTGTGTGTCAGTGCACATAGCCTCATTAATGTAGTACCAAAGTGAATGTGGAAATAACATCTCTCGTTATTTAGAGATGACTTGACTAACAGCCAGAATTTGAGTTGAGCGCTGATAATGAAAGAAGCTGAATGTTCATCGATGAAAGCATGACTAATAGTTTACGCCATTCTTTGTGCTAGGTAGTAATTATTTCCATTGTGTCTTGCAGCTCCCCCAAGGCAGTGTATCGACCTACACTTTGACGAGAATTATTCAATCGAGTCCTCTTGGGAATGTAAATTTGACAACATTGAGGTACGAGATGGACCGTTTGGCTTCTCCCCGATTCTCGGACGGTACTGCGGTCAGCACAGCCCGCCTGACATCAGGAGTAGCGGCAGATATCTGTGGATAAAATTTGTTACGGATGGTGAACTGGAAGCAGTGGGATTTTCGGCAAGTTACAACTTTACTGCAGGTATGATTGTTTTTGTAGCTTTTTAGGCTTTTTTTTAGACTTCCTTTATAAGCATATTCAGAGTTTATAGCTCTAACAGCAGGTTCCCAAGTGAATAACGAACATCATCTGGGGAGCTCGGCCTTGATATTTGTGGAAGCCTCTTAGAGTGTTATTGATTGTCTGTCTGCACACGCTCACTGTTACCATTGGCATTATGCTGTCATTGGCTGGGACACTCTTGTGACTGGTTGGCTCGCTCTTGTTTTTCTCTCTATATGTGTAGAGACATGGAACGGTTTCATCAACACTGATTCACAGGGAGAAGCTAACCTATCTGTAGTGTCGAACACAAACCTTGGCGTTTTTTAATTTACCTCATCTTTGGTCGTGATAGCATTACTGAAGCAGCATGAGGATTGGTGACAAAGAATCAGGGCATAAGAATGATTTAATATTCACTCACCCACACTTGACTGGGTTTAATAACACTGTCAACTTTTTTTTTTTAGTGAGTCAAAGGCTTGAAAGACATAGTGCCAGGAAATGCATAGAGTATGCCAATTTGTCTCCAAACCTTCTGGGGCATTTTACCATCGGATATTTGAGCGTGTCACTGTTTAAATAATGAACACATGCAGTACATGAACCTTTCATCTGAAAAACACGCTATTAGCTGCAGGCAGTTGAAAAGAAAGCTATTGGGGTGAAAAGGGAGAGAGCTGCAGATTTATCTCCGATTGCTTTGTGGAAATCCGAATGGTGAAGCTGTTCATAGGAAATTGCGGGTTTCTACTGTATATTGACAAAGCAGCCTGGGGATAAACCCAACTTTTACCTCAGGGAAGGGTTTCAATTTCATGCTGTTCATACTGACTCCTCTTCACCTCAGCGCACACTGCAGTACCATAGCCTTGCCCATCGTGTCATTCTGTTCTGTTGGCTTTGGTTTATCTGAGTAGGAGCACACCATTAAGCTCGCTCATTAACACAAAGATTCTTTTGTATTTATGTTCGATTAGCTTTACCAATATTCTTCAAAGGCAGATGTCAACTCTTGACCAAAATTAATAATTATATATGAGATAAGCACTGTTTCCAAAATGTTAAAGGTGATCATAAAATGTCAAAATAGTAGCATTTTCTGAGTTTTTACCCTGACTAAGTCTGCATAGCTTTGTTTCCTAATGGGTGTGAATAAGAATTCACATGCGGTAATTGCAATTAACATCTGTACTGTAATTTTTCAAAATTGCTCTGAAAAAGAGTTGCACATAAAGGATGTTTTTTTCATCCCTGATAGTTAAAGACCCCTCTTTTTTCCCAGCGGTGTGTAATTCAAGTATTGTTTCTCCTTCCTGCTTCTCTTGGGAGTCCTATTGAAAATTTGCTTAGAGAACAGTGAAAAGCTTTGCCTCTTGACTTGACAGGACATATCTGAGGCATATGATTTCCATAATTAATGAAGATAAAAGTCTTGAATTCACTCGACTCGATACTCTGAAATATGGCAGTGTGAATAGTGTCTCACATCTGCAGCTGCTCTGCTAACCATGCTAATTTACACAGCCCTCCTCTCATGAATGGAAGCAAAAGAAAAAAAGATGTGGCAACAAAGCTGACATGAATCATCTCCTCTCACTCTCTTTCCTCAGTCATTTTAGCAGCTGCCAGATAAAGAAAAAATTGTGCCTCTCCTTCACATTCTGCTACTGTCCTTTCAGAGCTCTTGATGACTAATTCGGTTAATACAGCAGCCAGTGAATGAATAACCAATGACTGGAATCTCCAGTATCTAATGTCCTATCATAGATCTTGAGGTACTTGAAGTCTGAAGGTGCTATGTATTAAATTTTTATATTTATATAAGAGATTTAGCAGACAGTAGAGATCCAAATATAATAGTCTTTGATGCACTTAACGTTCCTGTTGATGTGACTCACAATTTAGTTGTCAAACACGTTACACCAAGATTCTTCATACTCAGTGTATTGTGTCACAGAACTTGTACAGCATTCTTTTTTCCCCTCTTCAAACTGTGCTGTAACTTGTTTTTTGCAAAGAAATCAAAGTTACGTTGGGATTTGACAGATATTTTGGAGGTATATGTACAGTAGCTTCCGACTCAATTACTTACAGTCACTCAGACACATTTTTAATTACAAGATTGCCTGGCACTTTTGCAGGATTTATAATGGAAGCTTACCAGGCCATGGCAAGCTGCCTGTGTGACTCACAAGCGAGCCACCTGACTGAATTAGAACACCTGACACATATAGAGGTTCCTCACATGACATCACTCATACCTTGCACGAGAGTTGTCCACCATATTGGATGTGATACAACTACCAGTTATGAGGAAGAACTGTGTATTCCACATGAGCTGTTACTGGATGCTCCTGGCTATCACTAAGCACAATCAGTTGAAAAGAGAGGGCTGCACCAAAAACCTTTTTGGGATAGGTGAGACTGGGTCAATTAGCAAAAACAAAGTACTAAAAATTGAAAAAGTGTGACGCAAAGAGGAAATAGAAAGCATTTGTAAAGTCAAGTAGGTATGTGAAAAAAGAAACCACAAGGAGATTAATGGCAACACATTTTTCTTTCACGTTGACTGCCATCAACCTCCAGCAACCACTTGCCAACCAGTTTGGGAGCATGCGTATTTTTCTTGCAACGGGTGGTTGGTAGATTGGCCCAGTCCAGTCTCGAGGCCTGTCTGACTTGGACCTAATTTACTTGGCCTTACATTCTCCAACATCCAACATGGCTGATAAGTTAACTTCACCTACTTAGCTGTCACGTAAATGCAAAACCTCATTAGGTTCCCCAGCTCCCCAATTGCAGCCATTTGAGACATGGCCTGTATAACACATAAGTCACTTAAAGTAACATTAAGAAAAGGATCTATGTGTGTTTGTGTGTACTGCATGCAGAAACCTTGACTTCCACGCAGGCTCTGTAAAAAGAAACTGCTTCTGAAGAGGGAACAGTGACAATGAGTTACAGACAAATTTCTTAATCTCACTTTGAATTAGAGGCAGAGTTGCATATGTCTTGCTGTTTATGCAAAAGAATGAAGTTCAGACTTGCTAGTCATGCTATTATCTACTGGCACCCACAGTGCAAGAAGTAACCATTTTGCAGCCTTCACACTAAGCTAAAAGGTTATTGGTCATACTGGCAGTAGCTTAAAGACATGTGAGTGGCTTCAGTCTTGGCAGCGAACTCTTTGCAAGAGAGCAATTTCACCAGCGTATTTGTTAAAATGTCACACTAGTTTCTCAAAAACACCAAAATGCTGTACACTTAGTCTTGACATGTAATCTTAATACCACTTTGAAACAGCACGCAAACCTCAGTGTATCTCAGAATTGATCACATACTGCTCAGTAATCAAGTGAATATATAAAAAAGCCTGTTTAGCCAGAGGGGATTGAGACTAAATAGTGATCAGCAAATATTCCAAAACAAAACTATTTTAAGAAAGAAGAATAAGGCCTGAGGCTTCCTGCGTTATAACTTATGGTTTTATTTTTGTGTTAATCTGCCTTTTTCATTACAGTGCCTGATTATACATGTATTCATGGCAGAACCATAATGTAATTGTGAACTAGTGACGAAATGTAAAAGTGTGATACTGAGCCATTGTGTGCAAAAGCCCGTTGTGTGGTGCTATGAAAGAAACTATAATGAGCGCAATTTAGTTGTCTGTCATAAAAGCCAGCACAGTAATAAGCTTGTTATATTTTAAAAGCACACGTGAAGTTGTGGCCAACAGATTTGCATCATCCGTGGAGGTCAGCGAGAGAGCTAATGCATTAGGTTGACGGGCAGCCTTCTAGTAATATTGTGTAATATAAAAGTACAACGTGTGCAGCAGGGGAAATTACTCAGTGGAGGAGCTGTGGTATGTGTGTTTCTGTGTGTATGTGTGCATTCAAGACTGCTGGGGGATTTCAGCAGCATTCTGCTATTCAGGTTGTCCTAGGGCGCCGTGACCTTGGACCCTTGTGGACTGGTAGATTAAGTGGTGTTTCAGCACCTTAAGCGAAAGCCAGAGCAAATAAAAGCTGCAAGTTCTCCCGCCTCTTGCTCCCTGCACTCGGCTGTTTGCAGAGCCAAGACCTGGAACTGAGACAGATGCTGTGTGGTTTGTGATAAAATATGGAGACTGTGGTGCTCCATGAAAAGCGACCATACATTTATAATGTTGACTGTTTTAATGGTTTTCGTTCGATCTTTTTGAAATGTGCCGCACACAATCTAATATTCCTCATCGTTTAAATTCCACAGGAAACCTCAGATGTTAATCGAACATCTTCTTAATGTTTTCTTCTATTTAAAATTTTAACCGTGCCTGGTAATCAAGATGACACTGAGCGATCACAGTGCTTCAGAGCCAACCGCGCTCTAACTGGGCTGAGAATTATTTTGAAATGAGTCAAATGGCATTTAGTATTATATCTGGAATAGGATGTATGGGCCCATCACAAAGGAGGCAGGGTCATGAGATTGAACCTAGATGGGCTCAAACAGGAAAATTGGAAATTGAACCACAGAGATCGACTTGTCTCTCTTGGAAGCGGCTGAGTACAGCGACACCATCGCTGGGGCTGGGTAGAAAGTTCAGTAACTTCCCAGTAACACATCTCTTTCCAAAGCCATTTGCCAGCAACTGACATTTAAATGTTTGAGTCACATTTTATTTAATTGCATCCACCAAACTCTCAGAGTGAACTTTCTAAAGACACTGACATTCAACAGACAGGCAAAGAGAGGTAAATAATCATTCATAATAGTTGTAATTTATGGTATTGTGTGTGGAAAGCGAAGTCACATAGGTGTTTTAGGCTGTAATAAGGACAGTTTTAGGGGAGTTTGTTCAAAGTTTGCCTGTAGAGAGAAGTACAGGTCTGGAGCATATTCTACATTTGTCTGCAAAAACTCACAATATGTCATGAAAGTGTAAAAGAAAGACAAAAGTGGGAGTCATGGAGTATCTATCAGGATCGTATTAT